CAAAGGACACATCTGCAAGTGACATCCCTGGATCCATGACACAGCTCCTCCTGGAACGGATGACATCTAGTGGTCGCCCTATAGATGACATCCGCCTGATCCTCTAATACAGTGGCTGGACTCAGCTTCCATCCGGATAGATGACATCTAGTGGTCACCCTATAGATGACATCTCCTGGCTCCAGTGATACAGTGGCTGAGCACCAGGGGCAGGTCTTAAATGCTTCATGCGCTTTAATATGCGCTATCTGGTTAGTGCATTATTTGGCTATTATCATTTCTGAAAGTCACTACTTTTGGTTCTTTACATATTGGAGACTGTATGCACTTTCAGCACATCTGATGAACTTACACTGACATTTTACTGATCCACTATCATATGTGGTCTATCATATGTTTAATTGCTATTTGGGTTAGCGCTGCACTCTCATTCTTTATCAATTACTTTGGAGGTTCCCGAGGTGCCTTTTTGTGCAAGCAGCTACCGTACTTACACCTATACACTGCGCTCGATTTTATATATAGATTTTATATATACGTTTATTTTATTCGTTTAGAACCCATAACAACTTGATAAAAAAAAATCATGTTCTTTAGTACGGAGCATACAGTCCACATGAAGGCCTCATGCACACTGGGTGTTGTAAAAATGCCGGTAGCGTAAGCTGTATAAAGTTGTGTTAAAAATGCACGTTTTACGTGTCTTTTTGCATTAGTGTTTAGCTGCATTTAGCAGTTTTTTTAGCACAAAAAACCCAATTTGGCTCAAAAATGTTGGTTTGCCATGTTTTATTACATTTACCAGAGTTAGAGAGTTTTTACAGCTAAAAACTCCTCTTGAAACCCACTCGTTCTGTTTTTTTTTTTCCAGCCAGAAAACGTGCCTGAGAAAAAAAGCTGGTTAAAGCCTGTGTGTGCATAGGCACATAGGATAACATGCTAGAAACCAAAAACAGCAGCTGTTAAAACACCTAGTGTGCATGAGGCCTAATAATTACACAACCAAAATTAGTGTGTGCTGTATATTGCCTCCAGCATTGCTCCTGTTTCTTCTTGCTGGAGGCTGCCATTGTGCTGAAGCCCAGAGCCCCTGAACAGCAGTACATCATAAAGTGGTACTAAACCCATCAATATAATGGTTTCAAAAAACAGTTACATTGCGGGATTGGTAACTGTCACATTTGCTTGTGTTCTCAACCAAACTGTCAAACCATCAAATGGATGGTGTCATAACTGATTACATGTGCAGCACAGTGACAGTTGCAGATCAAACAGAAGTAGCTTCTATGGCTGTAAAGGATAGGAGAGTTTAATTCTACTTTAAGGCTGTCAGCAGATCAGCCTCTACAAATTCAGAGAGCAACTGGGCATGTGCAGAGCAGGGTGAGACAGTATATTACTGGTTTTTATAAAGTATAGGCACTTTTTTTTTAGTTTTGTATAGCCATACCTGTGAAAGGGGCCAGCATGAAATGATCTATCAGGACTTAATTTTCTGACAAAATTTAACTTTAAATGAAATAAAAAAAGTGGTGTCATCTGCCGTTTGGTTGGGCTGTGTAAATTTGTGGACTAGATAGAAGTATGAATAGTTTGGCAGGTAAAACAGCTCCCTTATATGTATTTCATTTGTATATTTTGATGTGTACCTGGAATTCAGCTTTAAAGTAAATCATTTGGTTGTCTATGTTTTCTATTATTTAGCAACCAGCTTGTAATGCATTTCATAATGTTGGGTGGAATAACCTTTGAAGTGCTGGAATCCACAAGGGAGATTTCCTCCCACCCTTGACATGGTCTGCCTGGATATGATCAGCTTACCATAAAGAACTGTCCAACTACCCTTAGCCTCACCTACTCCATCTGAAATGTAACAATTCTATAAAATGTTTAAAGCTCAATTGAACTTTCAGTTTAAATTAAATAAATACACTCCAGGTGCATCAAAACAAACGTTGCCTGCAGATTTCTGTTGCAGTGTGTGTAATTTCCCATGTATATGGAGCCTAACAGTTTGCAGCCACAGGAAAAGTTGAAAGGACTGTCTCCTGAAAACTTGCCACAGAGAAGGGGTTCTATTGCTAATATAAAATGAATGGGGGAGAGGTGGCATCCTTGATGAGTCCCACACAGTGCCGGGACAAGGTCATCCAGCACCCAGAGCAAACAGGGGTGTATGAGAACAGAAGAAACAGTTCCGAGCTGTCATTGCACCCATATGCAGAAGCTGGTCATGTTTACAGGATACAGGAGTGCTGCACTGACAGGAGGAAGAGGGAGAGAGAGCACAGCCCCACCACCTCCCGATTCTCTCCTCCACTCCCAGCTCTCTCATGAACACTTCTGGGCTAGGCTGTGGGCTGTGCTCTCTCTCCCCTCTTCCTTCCTGCTAGTGCAGTACAGCTGTATGTCTGTACACCGCTACCGGCTTCTGAATAGAGGAGTGCTGTACTGCCAGGAAGGAGGAGGAGAAGAGAGAACACATTCTACACCACCTTCTGGCTCTCTCTTCACCGCTCCCAGAGCTGGGCTGACAGGAGTAGTGTTGCTGCCATCACTACTCCTGTGAGCTTTGTAACAGAAGGAAGGTGCCCCCATTCCTACAGTAAACCATTGCGTCCAGGACAGCCACCCCTCCTGCATACCCCTTCTCCTAGCCCTGGTCCCACGGTGTACAGCAATATCTCTGGAATGGGAGCCTGCATAGATAAGAGACTGATGAGCTTGAAATCAAAGCTTAATGGATAATGATCAACGAGCATTTGTCAGTGATCTTAAAGTGAAGCTCCACCCAAAAGGGGAAGTTCCGCTTTAAAGACTGGCCCCCCCGTTCCCCATTAAGGATTAGCACCTTTGGTAGCAGGGGGAAAGCGGGTACCAGAAATTGACAGGCACCTGCTCCCACTTCCGCTGCAATTGCCTAGGTGATCGGAAGCAGAAGATGTCCTCTTACCCTCCTTCCCTGTAGTCTTCTGGGACATGTGAGAGGTCCCAGAAGACTATGGGACCATTCTGGAAGCGCAGCACTACTCGCGCATGCGCAGGGGGTACCCAGCTGTGAAGCCACAAGCTGTCACAGCCGGGTGCCCACACTGAGGTTGCCAGCGCCTGGAAAACCAGACGGCTGATGAAGCGGGGGCTGCGGGGTGGACACCGCGGGATCGTGGGACAGGTGAGTGACTGTTTTTTAAAAGTCAGCAGCTAGAGTTTTTGTAGCTGCTGACTTTTATTTTTTCACAGTGCGACTGGAACTCCGCTTTAAATGACAAAATGAAAGTTTTTGAAAAGGTACGGGACCTGTGGGTTAAATATCTAATGGGTGACCCTCAGACTATACAAATTGAGAAACCCCTTGAAGGGAGCATGGAATCCTTTACCTCCCACCATTCCTCTCTCCCTCCTCTCTTTTCATATTCTTTCTAAGCATTTTCGCCTTTTATTCTCTAATATAATTGTATTACTGCAAACTCAGGGATAATGATTACATTTGTACAACTTATGGTGTGACTTTCCTTTTTAGGATTAGGTAGCCCGAATTTAGAGGAATGTATGGCATACATTGAGCCTACAGGGGTAATTTGCTTTTCTTACAATATTATACATAATATGCTCTTATAGCATCCTATGCCTCACAGATGGGCCATTGCCCTAAGGCAGCAGGTAACCTGGAGCTTACTAGGTTTGCAAAAGAGTTGAGCATTGGACATACAGTATGTCTGAGACTACCTTCACGCTCAATACGAATTATCAAAATGGTGAAATATAGTGAACTATGCCTTCAGTTTCTATTAAAAATACTTAATTCATTATGTCACTGTGCTATCTGCATGTATTTTTATAGTGAAAGAACCACTATGTTGTAATGCCCTTTGAAACATTTTTCTTTATTTTGACAGAAACAATTGAGTACTGACGTGATACTTTTTTTATTTGCACTAACATACAATTTTGAGGACAAGCTTTCGGGGTATGTCCTCTTCTTCAAGGTCCAATATTGTGAAAAATTTCAATAGAAATATTGGAAATTAAATCAAAGCTTAAAAACTAGGGACCAAAAGACCAGTGAGTTAGAACATATTGTAGCTTGTTATATGTCACGCCTCAAAGGCTCTAAAAATATTGAGTAATAAAAGAAACTCTCGGATGTGTCTCTGCTACATAAGATGGGTAACTTTGGGAACACATTTGCTAGCATGGCAAGAGGGCAAACACCAAACTTGGCCCCTGTATTTGAAGGATGAAAAAATTCTGTTAAGATGGGTTATAGTATTTTTTTCAGTAACGTTATGTTCAATAAAAATATTGGACAGTAGTTGGGAGATATCAGAGGTATCCTAGTTAGGTTTTGGGAGCATTGTGATTTACGCAGAGAGGATGGAGGTGTGAAGGTTTTTCCCTTTTTTGGTACTGAATTACGTTCTGTCCTGAACTATTCCACATATTTTTGGAGGGTATTGGAAGGAACCTGTTTCCAAGCCCTTCCTAGGTCATTCAGTTGGGCTGAGAGGACCTCTGGTTTGGCTTCCCATTGCTTCTTGCAAGCCAAAGCTGTGCAAATAAGTTCCCCTCACAGCATAGATTTATGCTCTTCCTCAAGAGATAGGGGGACAAACTTTTCTACTCAGGCTGAGGCGGCCTTCTACAGAAAACCAACTGTATGCCTTTGTAGACTTATTGTTTTGATGCACCTACAACGTAATTAGCTGATTTACACTGTTGGGTGTTATAGGTGACTCATCAGGGTACATATACAAAAACTTCCGCTGCTGAACATGCTACTCTTCATCTGCCATCCTTACCCTTCCTTCACTACTTGATGAATCACTGACCTGGGAACATGCATGTGCTTAAGAATTATCAGAGTGTGCACCTTTAAGTCAGAAACACCAGATCCCATATTCCCTTTAAACTGGTATGAACAAAAACAGTAAAACAGAAAACATTTAGGTATTCTAAAGAATAATAGCAGCAAGGAATATCAACAATACCATGGTACGCACAGCAGGTTGTGATGATGCAGCTGGCGTTAATATACCAATCAGCCCTGAGGTAAGAGAGAGCCTCCTGCCCTCTGCGATAGGTTCCTTCAAAAGGTCCATTTTGGATGCTTTAGGGGCACTGGAACAGGACTTGCTGAGTAGTTTGTGGTTCTTAAGTCCGTCTAACTCTTCCATACGAAGATTACTAGAATAAGACCTGCTTAAAAGTTTATGTGGCTTCAAGGTGCTGTTGTGCTCACATCTGGGGTCCCCAGAACAAGAACGAGTTAAGAGTTTATGTTGTTTCAGGGAGATGCATTCCTCCTGCTTAATGGCTGTAGAACACTGGCGGTTCAAAAGTTTGTGTGGTTTCAAACCCATCGGCTGTTCCGCCCTGGGGTCACTGGACAGTGAGCGACCAAAGTTCCTGTGAGATTTTGGATTACATATGTCTTCGGGTTTCACTGTGCTAGAACAAGTCCTTCTCAGGAGTTTGTGAGTTTTGGAAATACCGTCCTGCTCAGATTTCAGCTTTACTTTGCTTTTACCACATCCAGGAGGGGGATAACTTGGCGACCTGGGAGAACAATCACATAAATCAGTTTAAGATTTATTCAGCCTCAGTGTGTATATACTTAGAAAAACATGTTGGTCTACTTAATAGAGCACAAAACATCATGCAAATCAGTTTCCAAACTTTGAAATACACAAATTAAATACATAGTTGTTTTACATGTCATGTGATCTGTATTTCTGTCCATCCAGTCCTGAGATTTACACAGCTCTGTCACATGGTACAGCAAGGTAGGATAACTAAATTGTTCTCTGCTACACCTAATTAACACTTATAAGTCTTGGTCCTACCCAGGCTGTGACTTGACAGGTATAGGAAAAGAATAAGACTGATGAGGTAAATACTCCCTCACTCTGCTCTCTCCTCCTATCAGCCTGTTCCGTGTTAGCCCATAAACACAGGAGAACTAACTGGCTCCTTAGGCTGCCTTCACTGAAGAGATAAACTGTAAAAAGTCATATACCCTAGCTGGTGAATTTGCTGGCCTGAGCTCTCCAAAGTGCTGAACTGTATTATTTGCTCTCCAGTATAAATAGGTGGCTATTGGGTTTAGTCTACATTATTAATTCAAAAGTACTTGTTATTTGAAGGCTGCTAGTATGATCATTACTATACTATAAAGTACAGCACAAATAAGGACTCAAGATGAGAGTAGGAGTACCAGTGCCCATTCTGTGAGCTAAGAAGGCTCAAATGCATTGCACAATGTGGGTGTCCTAACGTGTTTCAGGCACTGGAAGCTAGAGGGAGAGGTATTTAACCATCTGTCTACCTAGGTACATTTATAAACGATAAGCAGACAAGTAGTTAAATCAAGCTTGCAGCTGCTTGCAAGCTTTATGATCAAAAGTGATAACTTTTATGGACTCTCAAAGTGTGCCCCCCTTCCTTTTGGCGGCCTTTGGGCGGCTCTCCCAGCCATTCCAGCCCAGGACCACAGGAAAGAGCTGTCACAGTGAAAGCTGGAGAAAGTCGGGGAACATCGTTCCCTTGTCCCTCTTGTGGCGAGAGCCAATGGAAGCAATGTGTATTACGTCACTTCCAGGGTTACAGCTGTCATTCCTTGGCTAGTGTAGGTTGCAGCCATCAAACACGATCTTTGCTTAAAAAGGTGCATTGGATGGCAGGGGAGACATTGGGGTGATATAATACACTCACCGGCCACTTGGGCAGACTGGTTCAAGATGATAGAAAGGCAACAGTAACTCATATCAATATGGACCAAAATCTCTGAGGAATATTTCCAACACCTTGTTGAATCTATGCCATGAAGAATTAAGGCAGTTCTGAAGGCATCAGGGGGTCCAACCCAGTACTAGCAAGTTGGACCTAATAAAGTGGCCAGTGAGTGTTTATTCCCAATGTCTCTATAAAGAGTACCTGTCATCTGCCCATGCTATCACATAGGGGGTTTGTTAGCCCACTTTGTGATAGAAATAATGTAGTACAAAAAGATAAAAAAAACCTGTAAAAAAAAAAAGAATTATAGAAAATAAATAAAAATAATAACGAAAAAATGTAAAGCACCCCTGTCACTCCTGTACCCCCCCCCCCCCCCCCCCCCATATAAAAAGCACAGAATAAGCATATGTACAGTATGTAAACATCAACTGTGTCACACATGTGAGGTATCATTGCAAACATCGGAGTGAGAGAAATATTTCTAGGGCCATAGTTCATGGTTAACTGTAAAGTGATAACCTGTAAAGGTTTCTAAAGGACTGCCTATGATGAATTCTGGTTACAATAGTTTTTTTTTAACTCCACAGGCATGCACAATTTTAAGGCTTGACATGTTTGGTATCTATTTACTTGATACAACCCCATCTTTTATTTTTTACCAAAAAGCTGGTATAATATTATGTTTGTTTGCACTAAAATTAATTTCAGTGTATTTATTTCTGAAAATATGTGTTGGATAAATAGCTACACAAATATTGTGCAACATATAAAATGCAACTACCACCATTTTATTCTCTGGGGTCTTTGCTTTTTTTTTTTGGGGGGGGGGGGGGGGGTGTTACAGTAATAACTAGCAAAAAAATGCTGATTTCAACATGTGTGCAAAGAATTTAAAAAATGCCACAGTAGACAAGTGTATATGTATGATTACAATAAAAGAACAGTATAAGAAGAGCTCCCTTCCACCGCTTTTTAAGCATAGTGAACAGCCTGGGGTTGAGGAGTGTTGATGCAGGATCCTGGATTTTTAGCAGTATAGTGATGACTCTTGAAAAGGTCTGACCAGTATGGCAGATAAGAAAGAATAAAAAAGTTAATTTAATGTACAAGTACTATATGCAGAAATGTATGGTATTATGTGGTTTTGCTAAAGTAAAGCTGCAAGTTCACCATTTGAGATTAACTTTGTAGAAATCTAGCCACAGAGCAATCATGGAGGAAGATTTTGATCTTTCAGTTGTACTGTAGTTGATACCTAACCGATAAGGAAATGTGAAAATGTAGTGCACAGAGAATGAGGTTTGCAAAATTTGCTGTGACAGGAAACACAGATCACATAGTCTCTTCAATTTGTGGTTACCATAGCTATCCTAGACACGCATGTAATCATACGGTCGGAGGAGATATGTTATACCCATTTGTATTACGTACCTGCGCAATGTAGAAAAAATGTGCAGTGGAGACTTCACCTTCTTCTCCGACATCTTCTTGTGCGAACAATTCGATTTTTCTTTGCTCTGCTTCCATTGCTGCGTCACAAAAGTCTGCATGATCCTGTGTACACATTAATTATAATGATTGGGTAAAAAAGATTTTGTTCTATGCAATAGCTGACCAAATTTGCGCCTTCTCTATGTAAAACACATCCATGGCATGGTAAAGGTGGCACATAAAGGGTTTCAAACTATAACTCATAAGGGCTCTTGCACATGGCTGTATCTGGTTATATAACAACCTTTCTCAACCTTTTCAACATAGAGGAACCCTCAAAATAACTTTCCAATCTCAGGGAACCCCTGCTAAAACTTACTGTATCTACAATTCATGATACATTAGTGAGATAGTCAGTGGGAAGAATTCTTCCTACATTTGTGGTCATTGGGAAGAATTCCCCCCTTAGAGATAGCAAAAAAGCTCAGTGGTGTCAATGGGTACTTATTGGAGAGGCAGATATTGCTAAAGGAACCCATAGCAACTTCTGGAGGAACCCTAGTTGAGAGAACCCACCATACAGTGTAAATTTCAGTGCACTTAGCCACCTGATTTCTTTGTCCATTCTCAGGATTTGGTACCTTTTAAATATTATTGCATAAATGTGAATTGCCATGTAGTATAGAGCATTGGTGAAGAGGAGGCAGGTGAGTACTGCTAACTTTATTAGATTACATTAATAGAATGTATTTAGGTTAAGTAGTCATTTTTGGGGGATGAAGAGTCACTTTAAAGCAGACCCTATGGTGTCTCCAATAGCACACAAAAGCAGCAGTTTTTAAGTGTGGTGCACCCCGGAAAGAGCCACTGGTAAACTTAGTACTTGCCCCAGTTAGAGCACTCGCAGCCAGGTACACAGCATTTTCTTCACTATTCTACTGGCTCAAAGGAACAGTCTAGGGGTATTTTTTTTTTTTTTTTTTTTTTTATTGGAACATAGAACTTGAATAGGGAAGATTCAGGGAAGATACATACAGGCATTGACTTTCCAGCACTTGGGCCATTGACTCATACAGCAACAGGATCATTAGCTTCCTCCTTTCGATATCCACCAGGCTCTTCTCAGTGAATGAGATGAGGACACACACCACCATAGGACAGCTTTCCCGCCACCTCCTTCCTGGCACTCTCTAGTGGCCTTCCCCAGACCTGTCTTGACTTCAGTGTCTTCCTAACGGCTCCTTCTAGTATTCTTCCCCAGGAGCCCCTGCACAGGGGTCTCCTTCAGCAGGACTTGACCCAGGAACTCTGCACCCTGCTGCTCAGGCCTCAGACTATTTGTGGGCTTTCCAACTATCTACTTAGCACACCTCCTCAGATATTGTATGGAGCTCCATAAATATTCAGTGTGCCTGCTCAGTTCTTCCTTCCATTATAATTCTAGAATCCTCTAGAATATAGGGGGATATAATCAAAGCTGCTCCTTTGATTACAGGGGAGCAAAATAAATTTACCTACCAACCTACTCTACACTAGGAGGGTGCTACACCAGTAATTACATTAAACAGGGGTTTGTACAAAAAAGGCATAGCTTAGCTGTGCCTAAAGTTGTTCATGGATGGATTGACATTTTGCCCATTCAGCAAGAACCAGACGAATTTCAATCTGATTATGGCCATTCCTCTGACAGAAGTCAATCTAATGGGTAATAAAAAAAAAAAGATCCATATATGGCCAGCTTTAATAAGGCAGCCCAGTATTTAAAATTAGCCCCAGTCCTGTTACTGAGCAAAAGTTACACTCGCTGAAAAAAAAAAAAAATTATAACATTCACTTACTTTTTTAACTGGTGTCCCAAACCAAACTTTTCCTTTGTAGATATCTGAAAGACGTCGACCGTTGGCACTGAAAAGAAAATAGAAATATCAGGACTGTTTATTCTTATTGAATGTATAAGACCTCATTCACACCACCATGATCTATATGCCTATGTGAAGGGCCGTCTCAAGTGGGTGTGCACTCCGGTATGCTCATGGATTTGAACAGGCTACCTGCACGCCCCTGCGTGTAACACCTGTGCATTCTGCCTGAATAAAGATGGCCCTTCGCACAGATGTACAGATCAATACACCCATGTAGCACTACCCCCCGAAGGAGACACTTGTATATTTTCCATGGGCTCCCCTTGCTTCTCCTTGCAGTCAGGTACAGTGTATTTCTGAAGCCAAATACAATCACACACACTTCCGTTCATTGTCTTCAAGACCAGTCTAGGGCATGTTTTGTTTTGGAGTTTGGGGATAGGGATGGGGAATTGTAGTAGGATACTCCAAAACCAGAACTATTCACACTGAGGACATCTAGCTGATCTCTTAGTTGAACACTTGTGTAGTCTTGGCTGTCAGTAGATAGCAGACTTTCTTGTAACATATAGCAGCAAGTAGTTTTAGGAGTGAGCAAAGTCCCTTTTTTGCAGTAGTAGTAGATACAGGGCTGAGCTCATCCGGTATAAGCCAATTACGACAGACTGCGACAGCCCAATGGTAACGTAGCTGTGCAAAGTCCCTTTGCAGTAGCATCACTCGTACAAGCTCGTCAGAAGACTAGCCAGTGTTTCCTTTCTCAGACACACGCTGGCTATCAAGCACCAGAGGGGTAGCAAACACATAGAGTCCCCAAGATCTCTCAGTGTCTGTACTCACAAGCCCAAGGACAGAATGGTTGCCTCCTCCCAAATCTTCCAAGCGACTCTCTCCAGTGATACCAGACAGATCTTTGGCAGACAGCTCCACTCAGTCAACTTACTGAAGAACCGGGGTCACTCTCTCTAACTTCAGGCCCTTAGGTCAACCCACCTAAGGCAGCATGGCAGCCCGTTGCCAGGCGAGGAAGCCTGCCTCCAGCCTGGCTTGGTGCAATCTACTCCCGGGAAAGACACTGAACCCATGTAGCTTAGAACATAAATACCACTCCCAGCATTCAATGGGGCAACCCTCTGCTGCAGTTGTATCCATATTCATTCTGTTCATTTGCCTAGCCCCTTCCCATGTTCTGGAAGGCTCTCATAGCTTCCTGAAGGTGGGCAGAACTCAGACAATCTCCAGCAGCTATAGAGCATAATGATCAGACCTCACTAAGCAATCACAGCACTCTGTTAACCACTTCCAGTCCGGACACTTTTACCCCCTTCCTGTCCAGGCCAATTTTCAGCTTTCAGTGCTATCACACTTTGAATGACAATAGCGCGGTCATGCAACACTGTACCCATATGAATTTTTTTTGTATTTTTTTGAGACAGATAAAACTTTATTTTGGTGGTATTTATTCACCATTTTTTTTGCTATGTAAATGAAAAAATCCAAAAATTTTGAAAAAAAAGTGTTTTTCTTATAACATTTTGCAAATAGATAGTATTTCATCATAAATCTTGGCCAAAATTTATTCTGTTATCTTTTTAGTAAACAAAATAATAACCCAAATTAGTTTATAAACCAAAAATTATAATTTATAAAACTTTTTTTATATTTTTTAATATTATTATTTGTTTTTTTTTGCTTTTTTTTACATACTGTCACCCTAGCAGTACAGTGTCACCATAGTGACACTGTACTACTTGTGGGCGGTGATGAAGATGATTTATTTATTTATTTATTTTTTACACTGATTGCTTTTACACCCATAAAGGCTGTAAAAGCAATCATTTCTCCTTCTCTCTAGCTGCATTCTTGCAGCCATTGAGAACTACTGTGTGAGCTGTGATTGGTCACAGCTTGTCACATGGTAGAAGGCTGTTGTGAATAGCCTTGTACCATGTGACCTCTGTGATCATTCACAGATTTCACACATAGTAAGCAATGATGTCAGAAGTGACATCTTGCTTACTACTGTGCATGTGATCACTGATTGGCCAATCAGTGATCACATGATCGGGACCTCGCACAGACGATCGGTATTCCACTGTGTCTGGAGGACACAGCGGGCACCGTATGGCTGTGCTGTGCACTCCCAGGTAGCGTGCAGAAGCAGGGTGCGGGGAGGCTGTTTATAAACGGCCACTCGACCCTGCACTGCCACCATCCGGCCGTTTATATACATGGGCTGGACGGGAGGTGGTTAAGCAGAATACCACACTGAATTAACTCACAGAACTCTGATAAGCAGAGAAATACAGCTATGCTTAATCTAACTATAGACATCCTAGCACCTGACTAGGAGGGTGCTACACCTGTGTGAATGAGGCCATAAAGAAAACCTTTTGCTAGACAAACACCTGTCTCAGAAATTCCTCTCTGCAGATGCCATCCTCCAACAAGTTGGATTTTGACATGACTGGCACTGAAGTTGAACAGGTTCCACTGCACTGTCCTAAAACTATTATGTGGCTTATAAGCTGGGGCATGGCAGCTTCCCTTAGAAACCTCTCACTGAGGAACTTGGCATTGATGACAGATGCTTTTAAAAGGAATCCAGTACTGGGAAAATATGTTGGCTCTTTATTGAACTCTTCCACTGAAAATGAAAGTTGCCCAGTTGTTCCATTGAATGGCTTCCATACTTTGTGGACTTCTAATTTTAGACTCAGAATTTGCTTGCCTGCCCCAGGTCAGTGCCTCAGCAAGTATTCAGGCTAGAGACAGCCAGGCAACTAGCATTTCCAGAAGAACATCAGAAATAGCAGCCTCTGTATTAAGGGGCAGTCCATCAAATATCCAAGGTAATTTAAAGTGGAACTCCAGACAAAACAATGAAATACATGAGTGTAATACAAACATTTACTGTTTTAATTGGTATTTGTATTTTGGACTGGCCATTCCTTAACAATACTGCCTTCTGGGTCAGCTCCCTGCTCATTGAACAGATTTACTGTCCCTTGAGGAGTCTAGAGGTGGAGGGGTGATATAGAAAGTTAAATTGCTCAAACAGCAAAAATAATTGTTTAAAGTGGACCCTCATTCCCAAAACGAACTTCCTCTCCTTGCAACCAGCCGCCCCCCGCCCTCTACCATTAATTTTCTTTCTTTATTTACTCTAGGCTACCTCCCCACCTCCATTCTCACCTAGGAAAGAATGATGCTCCTGCAGACTCCTGGGATATTCCCATCACATAACATAAGAGGCTGCAGGAACAGGGGACACATATTGGCTGGAGTGTGAACCTAGCGCTGCATCATTAAGGATCAATAACAAGAACCTGGAAAAGACAGCCAGCTACCAATGAAGGAGAAAGGGAGGATAGTAGCATGGTACCTGGCCTGTGGCAGCAGGGCAGAATTTTACAGCAGGACAATGCTGGACTCACTGAGCAGGTAAGTATGTTTTCCAAAGACAACACTACATAACAAGCAAGGGTAAAGTTCTTATTTAATTAGGAACTAAGGGCTCCTGTTACAGCACTAAGGGTTAATAAAGCTATACCAAAAAAAACAAAACAATTAAATAAACCTTGTAAGATTTAACTCTGAACACATACTAACCTGGGCCATTTAAATATTGTGTGAGAGAACAGTGGAGGCGAATTACAATCGGCTCTGTGCGGATAACATCCCACGCTACAGCAATTTCTTCCTGACAAATGACATCAAAATAATCAAATATGTTAGAAAAAAAAGTTAACCTTATCAGACATAGATTATTAATGGAAATTCAAGTTGATATTTGGTACTTGTAAAAGAAAAGGTAGATAATGTCATTAACACCAATGAATACATTTTTAAAGCAACAGGAAAATAATGTAAGGTCCCGTTCAGACAAGCAAAAAGTGCTTACTGCACTTAAACAAGTGATCTGTGGTGGCTGGTGCAGTCGCTTTTCAGAGGGAGGTATAGCAGCAGTTTGCAAGCGTTCAGGTGGTCCTACTGCTGTCCCAAGTACTGTTTTGTTTTTTTTTCATTTAATTATTTTGAGTTATAGCAATTTTATATTGCAAAACTGCACTGCAACTGTGTGACCACATCCTTGCCCACTGGTCCCCAACATGCCTACAGCTCAGTCGGGCTGTAATGTCAGCATTTGGGTGGTAGAACCACAGCTCAGCCTACTGTGTTTACTGCCACCATGGTTGTGAAAATGTCGTAAAAGGGGGAGCTAACAAGAAAAACAAAGAGGTGGAGGCAGGATAGACATGAGAGAGGTGATGGGGTGTGGAACAAGATAAGGTGGGAGAGATAAAAGAGAGGACCATGGGGTAAGGGTTGGAGGCAGGGAAAGGCAATGTCAAGTAAAGTGTTCTTCTCTCATTGACAAGTTTCCTTTAATGAAACCAAAATGAGTCTGTTAATAAAAAATACAAATTATCAACATATAAAGACTACAGATGAGTACAGGTTTGGTCCAAACTTGGTGTCCGATTGAACTCGGCAAGAATTGGTCACTTAGGTCAGTGATGCCCGCTTCTTTGTGTACATGAGGCGGTAGGAGACGGAATGCTAATTGGTTGGCAGTGGGTGGGAGTGACAGCTTTCTGCTGGGTTCAGTTGGAATCCAAGTTCGGACCAAACCCAAGCTCAAGACCAACAGCTGATAATTCTCCTTTAACAGAAACTCAGCATTTGCAATTCAGTGTTGAAATACCACGACAAAAAAACTTTAAAAATTCTAATTTATTCGCCAAGCTGAATAATATGTCATTTGTATTTTACTAATCACACATCAGTAGACCAAGAAATTGCTACAACTGTGTAAGAACTAAAATGAACCAAAAATAAGCAATCAGAAAAAGTGACGGTATTATAGGTTTCAGACTGAATCCTATGTATTATCACAAATTATATGTTCTGTAATTTATAGCAAAAATTGGTTTAGTGGTTTCATAAGACAAAGATTACTCTTCCACTAAGCATTATACTGTGTGCATCTGAAGCCACTTGAAGCCCAACTCCAGCAAAAACTTTTCATTTTAGTTCTTTTTTTAGGCAGCTGAAATGGTATTCAAACCATGACTTATCAAGTAGAAGTTGATTTTGGTTCTCCCCCTTTTGATCTCATGAAACTCTACTTTGATCCTTTAATGCAGGGGTCTCCAAACATTAAAAAGAAGGGGCCAATTTGCTGTCCTTCAGACTTTAAGGGGGCCAGACTGTGAGCAATGGAAGTAGAAAATGTCCATCAGTGCGAGTAAACAGTACCCCATCTTTAGTAATAGAGAGAGGAACAGTGCCCCATTGTTGGTGCCAGTGGGAGAAGAGTTGTCTCATTATTGATGTCAGTGGGAGCAATAATGTCTTGTACCAGTGGGAATGACAGTGTCCCAAGGGCTAGATAAAAATCAAGCAAAAGGCCTCATCTGGCCCTCTCTTTTATTGAAGGAAGTCTTAAATTTGGTTAGTCAAGGTTTTCTGAAAAGAATACTTTGTCAGTCTAAATTTACCTTTTAACAAATGTGACCAAATAGGCTTTTAGCAGTGTCACCAGCACTGAAGGGAGCCTGGACCAGCCAGTATTTTAGCCTATCCCTTTTATCCCTATCATTACCATTCAAGAAACAGGATTCAATAAGACATACATCTGCATTACCCGATCACATTTTATTCTTTTGAGTAAAAAAAAACAACCTTTTCCTTCCATGAATAAAAAATCCACTGCTCCCAAGCCCACTCATGTGATCTAAAGCCCAGACAGCAGATTGCATGGTCTTGGCTATAAGGTGCACTATGGATTTCACATCATTAATGACTATTGTTTTCAACTGGACAGATCCTGTTTGATAGACTTGAAGGAAGATGAGATAAACAGGAGACCCAACTTGGACATGTATAATGACTGCCCTCATAGGATGATATAGTTACAAACTATATGCAACAAGGCTTTGAAAGAATATGTTTAAACGTATTTACATGAAACTGTGCTCTTTCTAGTAAATTACACAAACAATAAAATACTAGTTTTCCTAGCAATTTTACTTAAGGTAAGTGCAAATCCCCCATATTCTCTTTAACTGGGACAATTCCATTCATAAGGAAGATGTGACTGATGGAAGCCCGGAATAGCTGTGCACTAATTCTAATTCTGGATGATGCCACATTTTTCAGTATGGTATACCATAAGAAGATTGTGGAACATATGTATTAGCTATGTATCTCATGTCTAATGTACCCCTTTACATTTTGTCTCAGCCTTCCACAAAAAAGCCTATCAAGACCATCAAACAAAAGGTAGGATTGAATTAATAACATAAAAACACCTCACATCTTCAAAACTTCGAACCTGAAAGTAATCTAGAAGACCAAGGGAATTTATCAAAAGGTGGTTTAATTGGCAGGGAGAAAATACCTTCCTGATCCCCGAAGGCAATTCAATACTCCCTGGATCAACATTCTACAGTGTTATTTCTTATTAATAATAGTTATATTCTGAGCATTTAGAAATACTGAGACCCTTATATGAGGGCTTGACACACAAACTGTACATCTACAGCAAGGTTCTTTAAACTATGGCCCACACCAGGATTGGCAGCAGCTAGGGTCAGGTTTTTCCTCTCTGCTGTGCCAGCTTTCTCCAAATCATTTGGTTGCTATGACTGCCAACATTCTAGAAACCGATAACGTGCTTGTTCCAGCAGCAGTACCGACTTCCTCTGTGCATACGTATTCCACCTCATGGCTGCAACACTAATTTAGTCATACTGTAAGCAAGGAGAGGGATAACCAGTGATAGGGAATCTGATGTAAGGGAGGATTCCTAAGGTAGACTCTGATGTAAGGGATTCTCTGATAAAAACCCTGATGTAAGGGGGTTCTGATGAGGAATCTCATGTAAGGGGGAACTCTGATGGTGGCTTTGATGTGAGGGGCAACTCCTACAGTAGACTCTCATGTATAGGGGCTCTAATTGAGAACCTAATTTAGGGGAGTTCTGATGGGGACCCTGATATAAAGGGGGCTATGATGAGGTCACTGATGTAGGGGGGCTCTGATGGGAACCCTGATGTAAGGGGGAACTCCTAAGACTCTGAACACTTGATGCAAGTATCAGAATGTTAGTGAGCTATCATCCTGGGGCACCAAAATCTGTGTAAGATTAAGGATTTTGCCTACAGCTGTTCTGTAACCACATACTGTATGTATATTTGTGTTCATTCATGGTACGGTGTGTCAGTTTGACTTTTTTCGCAATCATAAAATTTTAACAAACATAGACAGAATGTATTTCATAATTGACAATCAAAGGGTCAGCCAAAGCACAGCTGGAAAAACTACTTTCACACCTCTGTGTAGATAAACCTATTTTATATTCAAAACGTTAACTAGACATAAAATATTAATGTTACTGTAGATTACTTTATACACTCTTTGAATGAAAACCAAAAGACTTACATCAAGGAAACTAACGTCAATATGCAAATCAATATCCACATCATCAATTGCTCCGTATTCCCTGCAGGAGAGAGAAAATGTGAAATATTCAGTCAAATATAAGAAATAAAAACCAGTCATCTTCAAAATGCCAGGCTTCAAAAAAACAACTTATGAGATAAATTCCCAAGTTCTTATGACATGTGGATACATGTCACATAGCATACAAATACAATAACAAGCAGCAAATTTTGCAGTCTTTATATAATGCCAACATATTACAAATAACAGTGTACAGAGTTATGTATATCTGACTTTGTCATCTAGGAGCTAATGCAGCAAAACGCGTCAATCCTATACGCTTATTGTTTGTCCATCACAGGCTTAAAGACTAGACCATCATATTCATTGTTTTTATGTCAAATATCTATTTTAACTGGATGGATGGATTAATAAATATTATATTTTTTATAGTTTTGTGTTGTATATTTATCCTATTGTAAGGTACATATAAAGACCCTTTTTTCTGAGCAAGATAGTTCCACATTTATGATCAGGTGTGGTTACTTATGCTTGCTCTTTTGTTTCTGCTTTGATTGAAAGTTTGGGATTGTACCACAGCGTGGATACTTCTAACTTGGGTCCTAATCACACATTGTCTCTTTCTTGCTAATCTATAGACTGTATGCTGGTGCTAGAACATGATATTCAATATTTCTATGTGAAATGTCTATTTTAACTGGATGGATTATTAAATATTATATTTTTATTAGTTTTATGTTGTACATTTATCTCATTATAAAGTCCCTTTTTTCTGAGCAAGATAATTCCACATTTATGCTTAGGTGTGGTTACTTATGCTTGCTCTTTTGTTCCTGATCAGCTCTATACTTTCATGCATGGTGACACTGCCCAACTTCCCCTAATGCAGTACATGGTGTCTGAGCAGCCAATCACCATACCTCCATACTGCCATTTGAAGAAACAGAGATCCTTTGTCCTGTGTAAGCTCTGACACGAAGCTTACACAGGGCCTGTCTCGCAAGGCTTCAGCAGGTGAACAGGCAGGTCCCCTAAAAGCCAGTAAACTGTAATAAGGCAATACTGATTACCTGAGAGATACAGCGTTGGCCCCATAGATTTCTCTCACTGCTGCCAAGTCAGCTTCCAGATGTGGATGCTTATGAAGTTCCCCATCATAACTCACCTGCACAAGAAAACGACAATTTATCAACAATAAAAAAAACAAATGCAAAGCATAGCACAGGTTTTTTCTGATAAAAAAAAGGCGCAGGACATGTCCACACAGCAATACAAGCAACTCAATTATCTTAACACCTCAACATTTTAACCACTTGCTCTCCAAAAGATTTACCCCCCCCCCCCCCTCCTGACCAGGCCATTTTTTGCTATTTCAACTAATAATTACGCGGCCCTGTAATGCTGTACCCAAACTAAATTTATGTCCTTTTTTTACACAAATAGAGTTTTCTTTTGATGGTATTTGATGACCACTGGGTTTTTTATTTTTTGCAGTATAAACAAAAAAAAAATCGAAAAAATGTAAAAAAAATAATAATTTTTTTACTTTCAGTTATAAAAATAATATAGTAAACTAAATTTTTGTCATAAATTTAGGCCAAAATGCATTTTGCTACGTCTTTGGTATAAAAAAATCCCAATAAATGTATATTAATTGGTTTATGTGACAGTTGCCTCTACAAACTATGGTATACAGTTGTGACCAAAATTATTCAACCCCCAATGCTGTAAAGGGGTTTAGGGACTATAGTGTACATTTGGAATTGTATTCAGAATCAAATCCTACAAGGACGTTGTAACTACCCAAATGCAACTAAAATGACATCAATTGTTTATGTAATACAGTAGTAAATGGTTCTTATGTGGTTTCTTCATTGCCACAATTATTCAACCCCTTAAAGACTACCACTCTGAAGAACAGAGGTTCATACAGGTGCTTTCCATCAGGTATTGAAAACACCTGTGGATGTCACCGAGCAGCAATCAAGCATAATAAGCACCAATTAGGCAGCTTTAAAATGACTGTGATACTCAGCTCCTTCTAGACATTTACTGGTGTGGTTACAAACATGGTGAAGGCAAGAGAATGGTCCAGGAAGACAAGAGAAGAGGTGATTTCTCTTCACAGGAAGGGCAATGGCTATAAGAAGATTGCAAAGATGTTAAACATACCAAGAGACACCTTAGGAAGCATCATTCGCAAATTCAAGGCAAAGGGCACTGTTGAAACGCTACCTGGTCGTGGCAGAAAGAAGATGCTGACTTCGACTGCTGTGCGCTACCTGAAGCGTAGAGTGGAGAGAAGTCCCCGTGTGACTGCTGAGGAACTGAGAAAAGATTTGTCAGATGTGGGTACAGAAGTTTCAGCCCAGACAATAAGACGCACACTGCGTAATGAAGGCCTCCGTGCCAGAACTCCCAGGCGTACCCCCTTGCTGTCTCCAAAGAATAAGAAGAGTCGACTGCAGTATGCCAAAAGCCATGTGGACAAACCACAAAAGTTGTGGGATAGTGTTCTGTGGACTGATGAAAAACAAAATTAGAACTGTTTGGGCCCATGGATCAACGCTATGTTTGGAGGAGGAAGAACAAGGCCTATGATGAAAAGAACACCTTGCCTACTGTGAAGCATGGTGGAGGGTCAATCATGCTTTGGGGCTGTTTTGCTTCTGCAGGTACAGGGAAGCTTCAGCGTGTGCAAAGGTACCATGAATTCTCTTCAGTACCAGGAGATATTGGATGGAAACGTGATGCAGTCCGTCACACACCTGAGGCTTGGGAGACGTTGGACCTTTCAACAGGACAATGATCCCAAGCATACCTCCAAGTCCACTAGAGCATGGTTGCAGAGGAAAGGCTGGAACATTTTGGAGTGGCCATCGCAGTCACCAGACTTAAATCCCGATTGAGAACCTCTGGTGGGACTTAAAGAAAGCAGTTGCAGTGCGCAAGCCTAAGAATGTGACTGAAATGGAGGCCTTTGCCCATGAAGAATGGGCGAAATACCCGTAGATCGCTGCAAGACACTTGTGTCAAGCTATGCTTCACGTTTATTTGTTGTGTTTGGTAAAAGCTGTTATAACTGTAAAAGGATGCTGTACTAAGTACTAAGATTGAATGTCACTTGGGGGTTGAATAAAACTGATAATGCTGTGAGCACAGAAAAGACATTTGTGGTTATTTCATTATAAACTGTTATGTTATATTTGTCTGACCTACAAGTGCTCTCTTAATGTAAATGTAAGCAAGATGACTGAATGATCAAAAGCAATGTCAAACTGGCCAAAACACTCAATTTCAGTGGGGGTTGAATAATTTTGGTCACAACTGTAGATACTGGAATTTACGCCATTTTTTGCTATACGGCGCTGCACTGGTTTAAATGACAATTGCGCAGTCATGCAATGCTGTACGCAAATGAAATTTATGTAATTTTGTCCCCCACAAATATAGCTTTTTTTGGTGGTGTTTGATCATCTCTGGGTTTTGTATTTTCTGTGCTATAAACAAGAAAAAAAAAATATTTTCTCATTTCTGTTATAGAAAAAATATCCAATAAACTCAAAGAGAGTCATAAATTTAGGCCAAAATATATTCTGCTACATGTCTTTGGTAAAACAAAATCCCAATAAGTGCATATTAATTGTTTTTTGTGAAAGTTATAGCGTCTACAAAATATGGTATAGATACTGTAATTTACACAGCTTTTACTTTCTGACTGCTTATCACGTCTTGAGGTGCTAAATTGCCAGAGCAGTACAAACACCCCCAAATGAATCCCTTTTCGGAAAGTAGACACCCGAAGCTATCTGCTGGGAGGCATGTTGAGTCCATGGAAGATTTTTTTTTTTAACAAGTTTTCAGAAAATGACAATTTTTTTTTTTGTTTTTTACAAAAAGTTGTAATTTAAATGGTATATTGCTCACGTGCCATGGGTATATTTGGAATTACACCCCAAAATATATTCTGCTACTTTTCCTGAGTATGGGGATACCACACATGTGAGACTTTTTGGCAGCCTAGCCGCATGCAAAAGCCGAAAATCCAATGGCCCCTTTGAAAGCCTTTTGGTGTGTAAATTCTTCATTTCACTTCCTCACTACCTAAATAATGAAGGTCTCCTGCGCTACTATTACGTGATAAATTAGGTGGGTGGGAGCTGCTAGCACCTAACCGTATACCATGTGGAAATAAAAACTAACGAAACCAAAATGATGCAGCGCTACCCTAATAGTAAAATAATACAATATGGCAAAAACAAACAAAGTGACATAAATATATATATGTGACAAAAAAATCAGTGGATTGATCCTCTCTGGGGATCTCAATATAAAGTGACATAAAATATATATACTTGCCAATACATCAGTGGATTGATCCTCTCTGGGATCTCAAAGTGAAAAAGTGATCACACCTGGTATAAAAAACCAGGAACCAATACCCGCACTATCCAAAATAGGATCATACACAAAATAAAATAAAACACAAATAAGCTTGAATCCCCAAATAGGGATCAATAAATTCATGCAAATGATGGTGAAAATGAGAACGTGAACCCCTAACAGGGATCAACAATATCATAATATCATGCAGATCATGACAAATAATGGCTAAATTAAGCCAAAAAGTAAATAGTGACATAAAATGGATCTCTAAATGTGGGATCAATTAAATACAACAGTGCCAAAAAAACAAACATACAAAAAGTATATTTACAAACTAGCAAACACATAAAAAAAAATAAGTGAACAAATAAGTCTGTAAACATAAAAAAAAAAAAGAAAAATGAAAAAATAAAAAAACTTAAAAAACAAAGTCCAAATAGGTGCATATACACCAAAAACTTTCCAATTACTTCTAAGTGCAGGTGATATTGTGGATGTGCATCACCACCGATGGAAATAATCTGTATGTGGCTAAAATGCCCCCTCACCTCCTTGATGCGACACTCAAAGGGCCAAAATGCTTTTGTTATTTGAAGCCAGGAATCTTCACTGGTAATGGACACCTGCTCAGGTAGATGATATCCCCCTCACTCAGTGAGTGAGGGGGATATCATCTATCTCAGTGAGGGAAATGCCACTATTCTGGCATTTCAGGTGGTTAGGAAGTGTAATGAGGAAATAAAGCCCTTTAAAAGCCTGAAGGTGCTTATTGTATTTTGGTCCTGTATGCAGATAGACTGCCAAAATGTCTCTCACATGTGGTATCCCCATACTCGGGAGAAGTAGCAGAATTCATTTTGTGGTGTAGTTCTACATATACCCATGGCATGTGTGAGCAATATATCATTTAATTGACAACTCTGTAACAAAAAAAAAAAAAGTTGTCACTTTTTGTCATTTTCCAAAAACTTGTGGTAAAAAATAAATTCTTCTATTGACTCAACATGCCTCTCAGCAAATAGCTAAACAGTTTGGGGTGTCTACTTTCCAAAAGGGTGTCATTTGGGGGGAGGTGTTATCTTGGCATTTTATGCCCAGCATTAGAAGCGAGGGTGGTCTTACATTTTCGGCCGGCATAGAGGAAAAAATGAAGGTATCCCACGGGAGCCAAATCATCTCAAACACAGCAAACGAACAATTATTGTAATGCAGTCAAATATTCCATCTGTCTTACATCAGCAACAAGTTTGTACAAAATCGGCAATGAAGGGGGAGTAGAAGATAACCAACACATAGGAATGCTTCTCCTGGCCGCGGGTCAGAACATGTACAGCAAGTTTTCTAGCTGGTTTAGGTAGACCCCGGAATGGCAAGCCCAGCAAAAAATGCAGTGGGGTCCAAATGGGAGAGAGATATGCAACAACGATTGCAACAAGGAGCGGACCTCTTCCCAAAAAGGGGCAATGGAGCTGCATGTCCAAAAGATATGGTAGAGAGAACCAAGATCTCTACTACAGCGCCAGCAGGCAGGAGAAGCATTCGGATTATAAGCATGAAGAACTTCAGGTGGTTTTGTACCATAACATCATGATCTTGTATATATTTTCCCTAAAAAAACCACACAGACAGAAGATCTAGATGCATTTTCCCAGATTTTCTTCCACGTTAATAAATCAATATCACGTTGTACAAATTGAGACCACCTACGCATGTAAAGGTGAGTGTCATTGGATAAAGGGGGGGCATCCATAAGGAGTTTATAAGTATTAGAGATAATACCCCTTTGGTGGG